TTTCCAAAGATGGACACTAACACTCTTTCTTGAAATTTTCAATTATTTTTTCCAGAAACGCAAGACAACCACAGTATCATTAGAAGTTCGCAAGTCACAACACAAATATGTTATTGGTCCCCGTGGAAACAACATCCAGGAAATCCTAGCAAAAACTGGTGTTTCTGTTGAGCTGCCACCTACAGATAGTCCATCAGAGACAATAACCCTGCGTGGAGAACAAGACAAGTTGGGACCTGCTATTACCCAAGTGTATGCCAAGGTATTAGACGTGTATCATTTTCTGAATCGCACCTATAGGCCTCTACACCATACCGTATGGGATCGCATAGGCTAATTGCGTATCTTAAGCAGTGAGATCTGATTGGGCACGCCTCGAAACAAGGCGTCCAATCAGCTTGGACGTACTTAATTATAAAACAAAATTCCACTTCCTGTTTTTGTCGCTATGATGATATCCCTCCCACACAAAACTGTTAGAATACGCATATTTGATGGTCGTTCTGCCAAGGTCTGTTTATAGGCTTGGCCGGATAAACTTAGACCTTTGCTAGAGAAGATGGACGTGTATAGCATGTTTCGTTTACTTTAAAAATCTAGTTGGGTAATTGGATACATCATAAAGTCGTTAAATAACGAACTATTAATTTTCTTTGACTTACAGGCCAACAGTATAGTTATTGTTGAAGTCAGGGCACCAGCTTGGCTGCATAAATTCATCATTGGACGAAAAGGACAGAACATCAGAAGCATCACACAAAATCTACCAAAGGTAACTTTTAATGTTCCAAGATGACATGTACTTTAAAAATTTCCATGAAATGATTTATTCATTTAATTCAATGTATCTATAATGTCAATTTCATTTCATCTTATGTCACACTACCAATTTCATGTTTTCACCTGAATAAAGAATATTAAACTATTTGACTCTGCATTTAGTGTTAATCTTTCTTACCTTGATTCATTATATCAGGTTCATGTTGAATTTGAAGAGGGAAAAGATACCATTTCAGTTGAGGGACCACCAGAAGAGGTAGAACAAGCAAGAAAGGCTTTGGATGACATAACACAAGATCTACAAAGCAGATTTGTCTTCGCTGAGATTGAAGTAGACCCAAAATATCATCGGCACATCATTGGCAAAAGCGGTGCTAACGGTAGGTAACCAGTGTATTTATTATTGCAAGTACTGTATTTCCTCTATTAGCAGCACTTTACATGTTACTATGAAGGGAATAAGCCATATTTTAAAGTGGAGGGGTCGTCACCTGTGCACCCAAGCGACGATAACATGCGTTGAAATGCAAAGGCTCATGGGTAGACGCTTGTTTGTAAACTATGACACGCTATGGCCATCAGATGCATGAGCAGGTGACCACTCCCCCGCTTTAATTATTCCACATACAACATGTGCAATTTTCGGTTTATATGCGCTTCTATTGAACATGTTCTTCTAATACAATAATGAAAATCTAGATATATTGTAGGCCAATTAAAAAATACGACTAGATACACCTCATTTATGCAGACTGTACTTATAGAAAAAGTATTCATCATACAATACAGTAAACTTACTGTGAAATAATTTATTTTCACTGGAATTAATTTTCACTAAAAAGCCTTTTTGGGTATTTTGTATGGAGTTTATTTTCACTGATTTTTGACGAGTTGAATGTAAAATATAGGGGAAAAAGGTATATTCGATGGATTTTATTTTCCTTGAATCACTCCTTCAGCAAAAATAGCGAAAATTAATGGCAAGGGAGAATAAAGTATTTTACATTACCTCTGTACAAAGGCATGCTTGTAGTATTTCATCTACTAGTGTGTAATAATAGGAGGAATAGAAACTAAAACATCTCATTAATAATTTGGACCTGTTTGTTTGAACAGTGAACAAAATGAGTGTTCTCACACAATTATTCCTGTTCGTATTAGTCACATGGTTGACACAAATTCAGAGCCGCTTGTACTGGATTGTGACTGGTTAAAAAGTAGCATGGGAAGGGTGGTTGTATGACCTTTGAACCATATTTTACGATTGTCAGTCAAGTGCTCACACTTGCTGTACTTGTCTGACTTAACGCCTCGGATACTAGACTTTAAAAATTGTTTTTAGGGAGTGGGTGCCAAGCTGGAACACCCTTTATTCGGAAATTATTCTTATGATAATTTTTGTTATATGCCAGAGTATGAGGAATATTAACTCCTTTTGGGAAATAAAATGAGCACATTTCATCACTAATAATTACTTACTGTAAAACACTGCTTGAAATTTATTTTTGCTGAAGGGACGATTCAGTGAAAATAAAATCCAGCTAATATACTATTTTTCCTATATTTCAAATTCAATTTATTAATAATCAGTGAAAATAAATTCCATACAAAACACTCTTCAGCGAAAATTAGTTCCAGCTAAAATAAAGTATTCCACAGTACTGTTAAACATTTTTCTGAAAATAGTGCCCAGGGCTAGCGAGTGAGCAGACATGTAGACAGTAGTCATGGGACACGCATAGTTCTGTTATACTGGACAAAAACACAACTCAAATCTGTTGATGTCATTACTATCAGAATTTATAAATTATTTGGCTCTGAAAGTTTGAAGTCAATCTTCATCATTCTCTTCATCTGTTTTCGATCAGGTCAAGTCTGATATTAACCAATCAGAATGCTGTCTTGTACGAATGCAATTCTTTGGGAATTATTGACAATGAAAATTCTGGTGTTACGTATTAATTTCATGTAATTATGTATTCATTTCATGTAATTATAATCAGAATTC